GTTTCTAACCAATAAAATGGAAGTGACAGTGTACAAAAGTTTGGAGACTTGTTCACAAAATGCCCCTCTGGTTTGCATCTGATTCATTCTGTTTCGCCCATTAGGAGATGTCAGCTTCCACATTGTGAGCTATTCTGTGAAGAGGCAACATGGTAAGGAACTGAGAGAAGCTACCCACAGACAACCCCTCCAGGCACTGACATCTGCCAGCAATCACATGAGTGAATGGATCCTTCAGTCCCAGTCCAGCCTTCAGTTGACTGCAGCCCCAACACTTAGACTAACTTCATGGAAAACCTTGGAAAGAACCATGCAGTTCAGCTACTTTCATATACCGTACCCCAGGAAATGGTGAGATAATAAACATTTCCTGTACAGAGTAAATCAAAATACCTGTGAGATGGGTACTTTTCTTTTATGGAAGAGATAAGCATGTTTTCAACTTTTTGGTCTGTAGCAGTTACCAAATCAACTGGAGAACTTTTCAGCATAACATTCATTTCATTTTTTTGAGCATCACAAACTACCTAAAAAGAGTTTTTGGTAAACAAATAGAAAAGGCATAAACAATTTTAAATGAAAAGATAACATACAGAAATGGTTTAAGACATTCAATCTGTCTTAAATAATATTCTTTAAAAACAATCTTAAAAATGTCTTGCAAATATATCTATAAAATAAGCCTTTAATAGTTATGACTTTCTACAAACAAAAATTATATAATCTTATATTGTGTTTTAGATCACAACTGTCATCACAGTAAGTTTGATCATATAAAATTAGGGTACACGCTCTATTTAAAGTATTTACTACAATGAACACAAATGTAGATTGATCAAAATGAGTATTTTATTTAACAAAGCAGGCTAAATGTGGTGGTTCACGTGTGTAATCCCAGCACTTTGGGAGGCTAAGGCAATCCAGGAATTCAAGACTAGCCTGGACAACAAAGCAAGACCCTCATCTTCACAAAAAAATTGAAATAAATAAAAAGTAGCTGCACATGGTGGCTCATATCTGCTGTAGTCCCAGCTACTCAGGAGGCTGAAGTGGGAAGATGGCTTGAGCCCAAGGCCAGGAAGTTGAGGCTGGATTGACCCATGATCCTGCCATTACACTGCAGCTTGGGTGACAAGCAAGACAGTTTTAAAAAAAGAAACCAAACCAAACCAAACCAAACAAACGAAACAAGACAACAACACAGTGTCCTCACCAATCACATTATAACTGACAAAACTGTAGTTCATACCTCTCCAGCTCGTCTTGCTAGAGTTACTGCATAATCCATGCATTCCTGCCAAGGATCGGCCATCTTCTGAAATATTTAACAAATATCTGTACAAAGTAGTTACAACTGTCTTAAAAGTCTTAATTATAGAATAGCTAATTCACAAAAGCATCTTAATTAGAAACAGACTGCCATGTCAGGATTCACCCATGCCCTATAGTTTTTCCCAAGATTTATGCCTATACCCAGTAAAAAAAATTTCTTACCTAATCTACATATAAATATTTTAATAATAAAGACTATTCCATAAAATTGCTTTGCTTTCCAGTGTGTCCATATAATATTACATTTAAAACAAAACATTTGTTTGGCGAATAGATAAGAAACGACAGAAGAAATACTTTAAAAGCTAGGATAATATTTGGAAGGATACTAAAGTGAAAACAAGAGAAAGAACACTAGGAATACTGAAATAAAAGAAGCTTGAAGGGAAGCAGCAAAAGGTACTTAAAAAAAATTATGTGTAAAGATGAGGAACTTAAGGCTCAGAGATAATTTGCCTAAGATTACATACAAATGATACAGTCAGAACTTGAACTCAATTCTGATTTTAAAGTCCATTGTTCTTTCTATCATAACATTCTGAGAAAAGAAAATTCCAGGGCCAAAAAATTAAATATAAAAAAGCAAATTCATTTCCCTGAGTTTCAGAGATGGAAAAAAAAAACCCAACATATATTTGTGTTCCAAACTGTCCACTTTCCACTGACTTCTGAAGACTAAAATAACTCACCACTGGCTTGACCACACTCAGAAGTCTGTACCTAGCACAGTAAAGCTTTTTAAGCTGTCAGACTAAAAACTGTGGCACCATTTATAAAGCAATACTAATTTTGTCTCTTTTAAAATAGAAAATGAAAGACACAGAGTTACATCTTGAAGACTACTCAGAAACCCTTGGCTTGGGGTCCACATTATAAGAAAGGGGACAGAAGAGGAAAGGAGGGCAAAAGACCCACATGGTGAGTTTCTGTTTGTTGCTTTTTTTTCTGATAAAAACATTTTTAAAAAAATTTTTAAAGGAAGCCACTTTCTGAGTCATATAAGCAACTCCTTCAAACTCCTCAAGAATTGTTTCCAAACTTTTTTTTTTCACTCTTACTCCCATTCTGCTCCACTAGTCTTAACAGAACTAGATGTTCTCAAGCTGCAGCTTCTTTTCTGCCAGAAACAGCTCCAGCCACTCATACCCCCACCTTCTAACAACACTAATGTAACTCTACAAATTCTTCTGGTCCCATTTCAAAATCTACTGTCTCTTCTAGAGATTCTCTACCCAGAAGTCACTGTGTTTCACCCTTCAATAGATGTTTGCTGACTATCCATTATATGCTATACACTGCACCATGGGGAGGAAAATCAGGTCCTGTTCACACTTACTTTTTAGGAGGGGTCTCAGATATTAATTAAAAACTAAATACTACATGCAAAATGTAATAAATGGAAAAACAAAGGCTATGGAGGAGAAGTGCAATGAGAAGCATCTAACAGGCGAGCTTTCACCTGGACTTGGGCATCAGATCAGGTTTTCCTGAAGACAGGATTAAACCAAGATGAGAAGAACAAGTGAACAGGCATGAACTCACTCAACTGCAGGATGCCTGCTACGTGAAGACTAACTGAAGGGCCTAAGTGTGACAGCTCAGAAATCAAAGGAAACAGAAAGGATAAAGCTGGGGAGGTAGTGGGGATCATCCCCTACAGGGCCTTAGGGATAACACATTGATTGGAGAGGCTTCAGGAATCACTTCGTTGTGGCTACTGAACAGAAAGGTAGAAAATAGGTGTGGGTAGAGGATTAGCAGATTGACATTCAGGATGCAGTAGTGTGGAGGAGACCTGATGATTGGCTGAAACCTGGTAAGGAAGTTTTGCTGGTAGAGAAGTTAAGAGAGTCAAGAGCTATCTGTTTTGGGAGAACAGCAACAGATTGGCTACAGAGTACCAGGGAGAGGAAGAGTTCAGATTCAGATTCCCTCTGAATCTGGATGCCCAGATTTCCCACTCTGGCAACTGTACGGATAACGGTCACAGACTACTGAAACAGGAAGTAATAAAAAAAGAGTCAAGTTTGGGATATGGATGGGAGTTTGGGAGATCAGTTTAATTAGTAGAAGATGAGGGGGTCTCTGTAAAATCAAAAGATATCAGTTATGCAGCTGAATCATGGATCCTGAGCTCACAAGAGAAGTATGGCCTGCAGATTTAAACGTGCAAGTTACTTGGGTAGACAGCAATTGAGTCTAGACATCGTTGGATATGCATGATTAACAACTGTGTAGAAATGTGATCCCCACAACATCAGTATGATCCAAAGGGAACAGACTGACTGTGGAAACCCAGCAAGGACTGTCTGTTCAGATTCATCTTGGCCTCTCTGTCCAACCCTCTTTTCTCCTGTATACAGGGCCAGACCCCTTTTGAAATGGAGGTCTTATGATCTACAATCAAGACAAGGCAGGTCAGAGAATTTCTTCATGGCTAGTTCTAAGACAGAAAGGTGGTCCAAGGTTGCTGTCAAGGGCTATGGGAGTTATGAGCCAGGAATGGTGGATAAAAACATTGTGTGTGTGTGTGTGTGTGTGTGTGTACAGAAATCACAGGTACATTTATTGATGGGCAGGTTCTGCAGTTTACTCACTTTCATTTTCCCAAAGCCATAAACACCTGAACTGTTTCCTGCTGTTTCTGTCCTGGTCATAGCCTCCCAGCGTGGGGGCCAGACCACCTTCCTTTCTGCCTGCCATCTGTCCCAGCAGCGCGACTGCGGACAGCACAGGACCTGGGCTGCCCCATCACTTACAGTGACTACCTAGCCCTGGAGATGCGCCAAGTTTCTCTGAGCTTTTCGGAGTCGGGCACATGAAAAGGGGCAAATATTCTACAGAAGCCGCCACGGAGGTTAAGTGAGGTCGCGTGGGCGAATCGCTACTCCAACGTCGGAACTATTCCTGGTCACCCCAGGGCAGCTCCGGAAAACGCGGCAGGCAGGGGTCACCCAGATGCGGCCTCCGCCCCAGGCGCTGTTCGCGCACCGCGCTCCTCCCCGCCCCTGCGGAGGGAAGGGGCCACCCTGAAAACCCACAGCGCCGGCCGAACCCGGAGGGTGTAGAGAGGGGGCGCGAGGAAAACAGGGGTCTCACCTTGAGTCAGAGGGCGTCCTTCTAGCTCTGCGCCCGTGGTTATCACGCTCGGCTCTTCCGGAGGTAGAGGGGCTTCTCGCAACAGGAAGTTCCGCCTTTTAAAACTCCGTTATTGAGGGGGCGTGGTTGCTTTGGGCCCCGCCCTGAGCTGCGCCCTGCGAGGCTCTGCCAGGCCTGGCCCGGTCCTGACCCGCGCTGGAGCATCGGATTCAGCATCTTCTTTTTCATTTCTGGTTCTTTTCTCCTGCTTGCCCTTTCATCTCTACATTTTTTTTTAAATGACTTCTCTCTTTATTTTGCCTTTTTCTTCTTTCATTCTCCATTCATTCACGGTTTCCCGTTTAGCTTTCTTTTTCCTTTCTCCCATTTATTCGTTAGTACTGTTTTGACAAAACCCAAATTGTAGCTATGACTCCGATTGTGCAGTTTTTAGGTGCTAACCTAAAGGTAATAAACCTATACTAGATTTTTTTTTTTAACATAACCAGAACCAACTGCCCAATTCTTGATAAATTACTTAGATACTATTTATTGAGGACTTACTGTGCTTCAAGCAATTGTATGGGGCATTTTTGTTTTGTTGGTTTTTTTTTTTTTTTGAGACTGAATCTCTGTCTGACGCCCAGGCTAGAGTGTAATGGCGTGATCTTAGCTCACAGCAACGTCCGCCTGGCGGGTTCAAACGATTCTCATGCCTCAGCCTCCTGAGTATTCAGATGCCCCCCACCACGCCTGGCTAATTTTTGTGTCTTTTGTAGAGACCGGGTTTCACCATGTTGCCCAGGCTGATCTCAAACCCCTGGATTCAAATGATCCACCACCCCTCAGCCTCCCATGTCGGGATTACAGGCGTGACCCATCATGCCTGGCTGAACTGTGTTTCTGTATGCATTATTTTCCTTAAAGTTTGAACAGTTTCTTGAAAAAGGTATGATTAGCTTTGTCAAACAGATGAGGAAACTGAGGGTCAGAGAAGTTAAGTGATTTGTCCTCGGTTCACACAGCAAGAGCAGAGAGTGAAACACACTGACTTCAAAGTTTTGGGGTTCAGAAAATGACACCCCACAATGAAGGCCTCAGAAGCAAAAATTTTTCTCTGACTACTGTAGGTTGCAGTAACCCAACATCACACCATTGCACTCCAGCCTGGGCAACGAAAGTGAAACTTCATCTCAAAATAAATAAATAAATGAATAAAGAGAGTGACATCATGGTCCCATACATCATTATAGTGCAAAAAGCAGAGCACAAATATAAGATGTCCTGACTATAACTGGACCAGGGAAGTAAGTTAGTTATTTGGCTCTTTCCTTAGAAAGTTATTGTTTCTCTTCGTTTAATCAAAAGACAAGATGTCACCAATACGTTTGAAATGAAATGTCTTAGAGATGAGTGATGTGGACTGGACACAATTCTCACACCTCACAAGGAGCAAGAAATATCTTTTATCAAAAAGGAGTGATGCCTTGAGTACCCAGTTTGGATACCTCTTTTTGTCTCTATCAAATGATACTTTTGTTTCCTTAAATTAAAAAAAAGAGAGAGGCTAGTTTTTCGGTTTTTCATCGCCAATCATCTTAAAATAAAAATCTTGCCAACTGCATGCTGACAAGTGTTCATTCATAACCAACTAATATTTCCTAAGTTTTGGCAGAAAAGTCATCAGTCATCTTCTGTTTATGTAAATGAACATGGTGGATTCAGTGACTTGAAAAGCTGCTAAAATCAGCATAACCAATTTGAAGTCAAATAAATTAAATATCAAATATCTTATCTCTTCAAAGAAAACCTTTCAAGCTTCTTATGTCAGGTGAGCCGGAAGTCCAGTTTCTCTGAGAGGCCTCACCTCAGTGGCTACTTCACATTTTTTCTCAGGTAATTCAGTTGTTGTGTTTTTTTTTTTTTTTTTTTTTCGGTCCAAAGAGGCCTTTCCGCTTCCAAATGGCTACTGAAAGTGAAATGAAAATCTGCCAGTGCGCAGGGAAGTCTTAGGGTTCAGACTCAATTGTGGCAAAGGTGCAAACTGTCTTACAAATCCAAAGGATCTTTTCTCTGATGCTGTGAAGGATGGCTTCAGACACCTCAGTATGAGATGCATGGTCCTTGAGTTCCCAAAGGAGCAGTTTTGAAAACTACAGTCTCATCTGCACCCATTGTTCCCAAACCTAAGAAATCCGCTGTGTCCAGGTGGTTGTGGGGGGCAGAGGACAGGAGCACAAACTCTGCTTCCTGGCATGATGTCCAGCTCCTCACTCTTCCAACCTTCCCTAAGGGGAGTTCCCTCTTGGAGGCCTTTGGTATCCTTTCCTGTCAGCTGACTTCCATCTATTGGAGAGGCTGTATTTACGCTGAACCTCAGCATGAAGGAGAGGTGAGATCCAATGTCCCTGACACTTTCCTAGACAGCCGAGTGTACACAAGAGAGTTCTAGGGAAGGGTGGCCTTTGTGAGGACACAAAATAGTCTGGTCATCCTTCCCAGTAGGCAACAGGTGCCTCCTCGTTCTGTATTTGTATGATAAAGAGGGACCACAAGAATTCAATCCCCAGAAATTGTGGGCATCTTGCCAACTACACTTAGTCTTTGGAGATGACTTCTTTTAAATAATCACTCTCTTCATTAAAAAATAATTCGGGTTCCACAGGCCAAAATGTTCATAGCTATAATAACTATTTAAGTGGATTTTGATTTAAATGATCAAATTTATATACATCACGTACAGCTGTTCAAGGATGGAGCGTACAAGGATATCTAATCAGGTCTCGTGTTTAGATATAACAGATTGGAGTGGCATATATTGGTTAAGACTTTGACATACCCTTATAATGCCATCAGCTTTCCAAGACATAAAAATACGTGTATCATAAAATCGTCTCCTTTAAGAGATGGAAACTTAAAAAAAAAAACTGGCATAACCATTCTATCTCTGGATCTTTATCTAATTGTGGCTGTTTAAAATAGTATGAACTCAACTGATCAGACAATCTGCTTTATGCCTCTCATTCTTATTTTTTTTTTTAAGGGATAACTTGGGTCACCCCAACCCTATCCATATTTTTGGACAAGTTTTACTATGTAAAGTCTGTCCTCCTTGATACATCTATTAAAGAAATAAAATATATTCCAAATCCCATCCATGCCCTTTCAACTACTTTATCAGATTCTTTAAATAAGCAAAAAGTAACAAAAATAATAATAGGGCTTACCATGTGTCAGGCATTGTTATGAGGACTTTGCTCATATTCATTCCCTTGATCCTCATAATAATACCACAAGGTAGGTGCTACCATTATTGCTATTTTCAACATGAATTTGGGTATAGGGAAATCAAGTAACTTGACCAAAATGTTCCACAGCTGGTAAACGGACAGTGCTAGAAGTGCAGCCCAAGCACAGTGTGGCTCCAGAGTATCTGATCCTGACCTTCATAGACATCACTGATTAATTTGTTCAGTAAGTGTTTTATAAGGACCTACTCTTTTCAATCATTGCGGAGCATGAACCCCAAGTATCTGAAACAGGTCTCAGTTAATTCAGAAAGTTCATTTTGCCAAGGTTGAGGACACACACGCGTGACACAGCCTCAGGGGTTCATGATGACATGTGCCCAAGGTAATCAGAGTACAGTTTGGTTTCAAAGATTTTAGGGAGATATCAGACATCAGACAGCATATGTAAGCTGAACATTGGTTTGATCTGGAAAGGCCAGACAACTGGAAGCAAAGGCAGGAAAAGTGGAAGCTGGAGGGGTCTACTAGGTCACAGGTTACGAGACAAATGGTTACTTTCTTTTCAATTTCTGATTAGTCTCTCCAAAGGAGGCAATCAGAATGCATTTATCTCAGTAAGCAGTGGGGTGACCTTGAATAGAATGGGAGGCAGGTTTGCCCTAAGCAGTTCCCAGCTTGACTTTTCCTTTTAGCTTTGTGATATGGGGGCCCCAAGATTTATTTTTCTTTCAGAGCTAACAGTAGGAAATTTTTTAAAAAGCAGTAAGTGATCCTTGTCCTAAAGAAGCTCATAGTATGTTTATTTACCTAATTAGAAAGCAAATGTAGTATGCAACTATTCTCATCATCCTAAATCTTTATTACTTTATGCTATCACCCTGTTCAAAACACTAGATTCTACAGTTCTATGCCGGAATCACAGACTTACAGAGTTGTATAAGATCTAACCTTCAGTTGAATCTCTTTATTTAACAAATTTGAAAACTAAAGTGAAGAAAAGTATCTTGGTCAAGGTCACAAGGTTAATAATAAAGTATAACTAGAAAGGTAGGTGTCCCATCTCCCAAGTAGTAAAATACGTTTATTCAGAGTATGTATGTAGTCCTAGCACTTTGGGAGGGTGAGTTTGGATCACCTGATATCAGGAGTTCAAGACCAGGCTGGCCAACATGGAGAAACCCCGTCTCTACTAAAAATACAAAAATTAGCTGAGCATCATGGTGGGCGCCTGTAATCCCAGCTACTCAGGAGGCAGTGAGTGGACTTTGCACCAACTGCACTCCAGCCTGGGTGACAGAGTGAGACTCCATCTCCAAATGAAAAGCAAACAAACAAAAACATTATGTAGGTTAAATTTGGACAAAAGTATTTCTATTTAAACCCATAGTGGGTATTTCCGTTTAAAAGAATAACATATTCTACTTAGGCAATTATCATTATTTTGCACAAATCTTGGTAGTCATATATTGGTTTTGGTGGCATTTAAAAAAAAGCCTTGGTTATCTTATCAACTGGCAAAGTAAATAAAAATTATGTAATTCTATGATCAAGATTGTGAACAGTAGTGATAGAAAATGTTGACCGTTTTGGGCCCCATACATAGTTATATGATTGCTATTTCAAACTAGCAGCAGATCTACCAGGGTTGAAAGTTAAAACTGATAAAATAATAGCACTTACTATGTCCCAGGCACTCTTCTAAGCCCTGTACATGTATACCCTCCAATCTATGGAGTTGACACCATTAGCTTCATTTGTTATGTGAGAAAACTGGACTATAAGGAGATTAAAGAATGTGCCTACAATCAATCATAAGGCTAGGAAATAGGGAAAAAGCAGGAAGCCAATTTAGAAAGGTTTAGGGAAGAAACAATAGAGTGCAGAAAAAAAGTGATAGCACTGAGAACTGAGAAGAGCACTGGCAATCATATTATAGGCTGTTTCTGTAGGAACTACGTTGACTGTAAAGAAGGAAGACAGAAGAGAGAAGAGGTGGAAGAGCTGACCCTGTGTTTCAGGGTAAATGGTAACGCCTCTGGTGGGTTAACACGGAAGACAGGAGAAAGCTCATCTCTGAGAGCAGAGATGCCACATTTACTTTAAAACACACTCATTTTGATGTGCTAATGAGAGCACCAAATAGAAATTTACAAATTCATTCACTGAATGAGAATTGACCAAATGTCTGCTCTATGGGTGTTCCTTATTTAAATACTTAGGATATATCGTAATCACTTTTTTATTACTTTGTCTCATTTAGGAGACCACTGGAAGTATCATATTCACATCATAGCCTATAAAACATTCTCAAACCAACACAGTGGAAAAGTTGTCTCCTTCCTTTGAACTTTTGTATTATCATCTCCACCACTCATTGAGTGCTTGGCATGTATGAATGTGTGTGTGTGTGTGTGTGTGTGTGTGTGTGTGTGTATACATACACATATGTATTCTCTATCCCCAATGTCAGATTTTTAACTAGACTATAACTGGCTTTAGAGCAGGTATCATTGTAGTTATTCTTTGACTCTCCCACAGTGCCTTACCCAGAATAGGAATTCAGTAATGCTTTAATTGTTAGACTAGGGTATTTCTTTTCCTTTTATCTTGTAAGAAAAACATACATATTTTCTTAGCCTTGTAAACTAGAATGATTAGTAACATTTCACATCCAGTACACATGGCTACTGTAAAAGGAGCCACAGATGCTAAATTGGCCTTGGACTGTGGAAAAGACAGCTGAATAATGGCCAGAGCTAAGAAACTATTTAACATCCCACTTTCGATAGCAACGGTTTTACAAACAGGAAGAGGCAGCATACAAACTTTAGCAAAGGAGTACCCAAACAGCAAACCCAAAGCAGGAACTAAGAGACCCAACAAAAGCACCTCTAGGTTATCTGTTTTTAAAAATATTAATCCCACTCTGAAAGTCAAATAAATTCCTACGAACATTAAAATAAAACTCAGAGGTCTAATTATTTTCTCCAAGAAGTTTGCTCTTTCAGGCATTTTACGCTTGATGACTATTCCAATTGATACTGGTATAAGTATGAAAAGGAGTGTGGACACAATTTTAGAAACAGGAATATGAAATGTACCTGACAACCCTAATATCTTACTGTATATATAAGAATTGACAGGCATGGTAATCAGAGCCAGTAATGTTGATGTGCAAGTCATCAAAATGGCCAACGTGAAATCTCCGTCTAGAAGCAGAGCAAAGAGATAGCCCCCACCCCCTCCTGGGCATGTGCAGGTCATTACAAATCCAAAAGCTTGTGCCTCAGGCAATGCCACAATCTGAGACAAAAGAAATCCACAAAATGGCATCAGAAAAAACTGTGTGACTGCCCCAAGAATTACTGGCAAAGGTCTCTTCCATACTGTTTGGAACACCTGTAATTCAATCTTGCAACCAAATGCACACTTATTCAATAGTACTAGTGGTAAAATAAGCATTAGGATATTTCTATCAATATGCATTGACTCCTGGAGAAGACCGTCTCTTTGTTTAAGCACTTTGACCTTCACATTCTTGATTTCTTCAATGAGTCTTTTTTGCCTACCTTCAGAATCCCACAGTTGAATAGTCACATTTGTTTCTCCTTCTTCATCAGTCACCAGATTTATGGTAAAGTTTGTACCATCTGATGAAATCTTCTTGATCACATTCACCATTTGCAGCATTTTAGGATCTTCTATTTTTACAAAGAGGTAGCTGGAATTAGGCTGTTTATCTTTGTAGCTTGAATTTACAATGATGGTTTCTTCAGTCTTTGTGAAAAATAGTATTTCAGTTTTCTCTATATTCAAAAAACTGAGAGATAATAACCTTGCTTCTTCTATAGTCACAAGCAACAAAAGTAGAACAATAAAAAGTTTTCTAATCATTTTGAAAGCTTCAATCATATATATGCAAAACCTTTTTTAAAAAATGAAAGAATATTCTTCATGCAGGTGTTCCAGTTACAGTCTGAGGGTGAGTTAGATAACAGTTGTTTTTGCAGGATCAAAGTCCAGTAGGAGGGACTGCTGTACTTTAAACAAATATATAGCCATCTAGGCAGCAACATAACCGGTTTAACTTGTGATTAAGAAAATTAAAAAGCCATGGCATTTAGCAGATTCAATTTATTACAACAGAAATTTAATCTCTTCCTCTTGACTTCCTCATTTCTGCTTAGGCAAAGAACCCAGCCTCCTGTTTACCCGAATTTAAAGCCTAGTGTCATCATTCTTAGTTCTTTCTTGCTAAAAAAAATTAAGACTAAAAGCAGTCAGGATCAAAATCTGTAATAGATACTGAGCAAACCTAGGGTATAGTGTTACTGTTCTCTTCAATCGAGTCAAAGTCAAATAAATATGCACTGAATGTCTGTTTGCCTAGGGCATGGAGCTGGGAGCTGGCCATCCCATAATGATTAAGCCAGATGGAGTCGCTGCTCTCCTGCTTAGTGGGGTGACCCAATATCACAAGTTAGAAAACTGCAGAGCCCAGACACTGGCCTTGGCAGCATCCCTCAGCTGCTAATAGTCTTCCTACATCTCTGAAGTGTGACTGAATCAGTCAGGAGAAAACTGACACTGTTTTTTGTATACTTTAGGAAAATAATTTCCTGAATGGTTACCAGATAACTTGGGGACATAGGGAAAGTAGTTAGCTGGTACCATGGCCAAAGGTACAGGCTGGCTAAGGGACCACAGGTACTGGACATGATGGGGTAATGGAGGATACTGGCATTGATTCTAATCTCTTATTCCTTCTTCATAACACTACTCTGTTCACAGTTAGGGGCAAGGGCATTCAATTGACCCAATTTGGTCCTATCCCTTGGTTGCTAGGAATGAGAAAAAGCATCAGGCTTTTTGGGTTTCAACCCATAGGGTCACAAAATTGTGTATTTCCCACACAAGGGGCGGGTGTCCTGATGCTAAGCAGCAAACAAAAAAACTAAAGAAACAAACAAGACAACTGTTTACTATTAAGATGTAGTAGTCTCTGACCATTTCAGCAAATCTTTCATGTAATCACGATGCAATGTGTTCAAGGTAATGCCAATTCATATTATGAAGTTTAGATCACTTTGTTCATTAAAGATGTCAAACCATTTTTGCCATTTTAACAGGTTTTATAAAAGCATACAATTTATGTTGGTTAATCTCTCAAATGCAATAGGCCTTAGATCTCATAAATTTTATTAATATGTACCACATTAAGAAAAACAAGATCAACCATACCAGTGGTGAGAATAGGGAATGGGGCACTGTTCAGTGATGTGGCAGTTAAAACTTCCCTCTTCTAAAATGACCAAAAAAAAAAAAAAACCCACAAAAACATCATAAAACCTAAGTTATCGATAACTTTCATCATAAAATCTAAGTCATGTGATGAAATACCTTGACTCATAACTTTTGTTGCCCAGGTTAAAGACGTGAGTATGTCAATTTTTCTTTCCCTCAAAACTCTATCTGCAACCCTTTTCGTTCTTTGGTTTCTCCAAGCCCTTTCTCTTGAAAACTGTTAAGAATAAAGCCTGAAAAATCCAGGAAAACTTTGATAACCTGTAATTCATCTATAAAGTGTTCTTCAAAATTTTCATAGAAAATATATATTATTAAAAGTGTGTATGGATGTCAAATTTTTTTTTGCACCAGAATAAACTAACTTTTTATAACATGTCTGAAAAGGACCTGGTGAGGGACACTAACAAGAATAAGACAGTTAGAAAAGATCCCTTTTATCAGAGAAACATGAATTCTGCTAAAATTGAAGAAAGAACACACATCAAATTTATGGTGAGGTTTGGGTGGAAGAATGGTGAAATCACTGATGCTTCGAATAAGGTTATGGGCACAATACCCCAAGGAGATCTGCAGCTTACAAATGGATAACTCATTTTAAGAGATGAGACAATGTTGAAGATGAAGCCTGAAGCAGATCATTCACAGCAATTCGGGAGGAAAAAATTCATCTTGTATGTGCTCTCATTAAAGAGTACCAGTGATTATAGCACAGACAATATCTACTATGATTTGGCTGTGTCCCCACCCAAATCTCATGTAGAATTGTAACGAGAGGATGTGTTGGAGGAGGGGCCTGCATCATGTGCATGGTTTCTGATGGTTTAGCACCATCGCCCTAGTGCTGTCTCATGACAGAGTTCTCATGAGATCTGATTGTTTGAAAGTGTGTAGCACCTCCCTCTTTGCTTGCTGTCTCCTGCTGGCAATGTGAAGATCAGCTGTGTTCCCCTTCTGCCATGATTTTAAATTTTCCGAGGCACCCCAGCCATGCTTCCTGTACAGCCTGAGGAACTGTGAGTCAAACTTCTTTACTTTATACAATATCCACTCTCAGGTAGTTCTTTTTCTTTTTTTCTAGATGTAGTTTCACTCTTGTCACCCAGGCTGGAGTGCAGTGGCATTATCTCAGCTCACTGCAACCTCTGCCTCCCTGATTCTCCTGCCTCAGCTGCACTAGTAGCTGGGATTACAGATGCTCACCACCATGCCCAGCTAATGTTTGTATTTTTAGTAAAGATGGGGTTTCACCATGTTGGCCAGTCTGGTCTTGAGCTCCTGACCTCAGGTGATCCACCTGGCTTGGCCTCCCAAAGTGCTGGGATTACAGGCATGAGCCACGTACCCAGCCTCAAGTAGTTATTTATTGCAGTATGATAATGGACTAATACAATATCCAACATCATAGATGTCTCAGTAGGTTCAGCTTACACAATGCTGACAGAAAAATTAAACTTGAGCCAACTTTCCACTTGATAGGTACTGAAACTTGATAGGCACTCAGATCAGCAACAGACAAGAGTACTTTTGTTCTCTTGGTAGTTTTCCTACTTAAAATTTTAGTTGTCTTTCAATAAAAATTTTAAACAAGCAGGATCAAGATCCTGAAGCATTTCTTCCAAGAATTGTAACAGGAGATGAAATATGGCTTTACCAGGAGACAATTCTGAAGACAAAGCACAAACAGAGCAATGGCTACCAAGAGGCAGAAGTGATCCAGTCAAAATAAAAGCAGATTAGTCAAAAGCAAAGGTCATGGGAACTTTTTTTTGGGATGCTTAGAGCATTTTTCTTGTTGACTTTATGGAGAGCCAAAAAACAACATCTGCTTATTACAAAGGTGTTTTGAGGCTGGGTACAGTGGCTTATACCCGTAGTCCCAGCACTTTCAAAGGCCAAGGCAGGAGGATTCACTGAGGCCAGGAGTTCAAGATCAGTCCGGGCAACATAGCAAGACCTTGTCTCTACCAAAAAAAAAAAAAAAAATTATGAGAGTGTGTAGAGATAGCCAAAGTTTTAGCAGAAAAATGCCCAGGTAAGCTTTGCCAGAGATTGCCTCTCCACTAGGACAATGCTCCTGCTCATTCCTCTCATCAAACACGGGCAATTTTGAATTTCAATGTTGCAAATCATTAGGCATCCACCTTTGAGTTCTAATTTGTCCTCTTCTGACTTGTTCTTTCCTAATCTTTAAAAAAAATTTTTTAAAGGGTACCCATTTTTCTTTAGTTAACAATGTAAACAGACTGCATTAACATGATTAAATAGCCAGGACCCTTATTTATTTGGGGATGGACTCAATAGCTGATATCATTGCTTACAAAAGTGTCTTAAACTTGATGGAGCTTATGTTGAAAAACAAAGTTTGTTTTATATTTTTATCTGTTTTCTTTTTTGAGAAAGGGTTTCACTTTGTTGCCCAGGTTGGAGTACAGTGGCAAGATCATGGCTCACTGCAGCCTCGACCTCCTAGGCTCCAGCCATCCTGCTGTCGTGGCCTCCCGAAGTGTCAAGATTACAGGGTGAGCCATCACACCTGGTTTTTTTTTCTTTTTTTTGAAATGAAGTCTTCTCTGTTGCCCAGGCTGGAGGGCAATGGCCCTATCTCAGCTCACTGAAACCTCCACCTCCTGGGTTAAAATGATTCTCCTGTCTCAGCCTCCCAAGTAGCTAGGATTACAGGTGTACACCACCAGGCCTGGCTAATTTTTTGTATTTTTAGTAGAGATGGGGTTTCACCATGTTGGCCAGGCTGGTCTTGAGCTTCAGACCTCAAGTGATCCACCCACCTTGGCCTCCCAAAGTGATGGGATTATAGGTGTGATTCACTCTGCTTGGTCCTGGCCTATTTTTATCTTTCAGTTTTTCCATGAACTTTTTGAAGTTCCCTCGTATTTGCTGCCTGATTTTCTAAACCAGAATTCATTTGTATTATACTGTTATTTCCACTACTTATGTAAATTTAAAACTTTTATTCTCTTTGTGGATTCCCTACTTATAATTTTATCTGCAAGTAGGTGGAAGAATGCTAGAGTGGAATGGGGAGAGTGAATCTTTAAAATTTTTTTAAGCATCTTCGACTGAAAGCCCTAATAGACAGCCTGAGACAGTTGTCTGCTTTCTGAGTAATGTGGAAATAGAGAGCTAGAAACTGAGTCTTTCCTCTTTCTCCCACACCTTGCTCTCTTTGGGAGACTGCTCCTGCCACAGCAACCTGGCTCCAGTACTAAGGACGCTAGCTCCTGTCTCCCCCAGACTAGTTTGCTCCACTATCTGGCACCACACCTAACTTACCACCAGTAAGCCTGCTTATATTCATAATATAAATTCTTCCTCCGGGGACAGTGGCTCACGCTTATAATCTCAGCACTTTGGGAGGCCGAGGTGGGTGGATCACCTGAGGTCAGAAGTTCAAGACCAGCCTGGCCAACATGGTGAAACACCACCTCTACTAAAAATACAAAAAATTAGCTGAGTGTGGTGGCACATGCCTATAATCCCAGCTACTAAGGAGGCTGAAGCAGAAGAATCACTTGAACCCGGGAGGTGGAGGTTGCAGTGAGCCAAGATTGTGCCACTGCACTCCAGCCTGGGCAACAACAGTGAAACTCTGTCTCAATAATAATAATAATAATAATAATAATAATAACAACAACAACAATAATAAAAGTCCTTCCATCCAGACTGTTGCTCTGCCACCCAGGCTGGAGTGCAGAAGTGCAATCGCAGCTCACTGCAACCTCCGCCTCCTGGGTTCAAGTGATTCTCCTGCCTCAGCCTCCCAAATAGCTGGGTCTAAAGGCACATGCCACCATGCCCAGCTAATTTTTTGCATTTTCAGTAGAGATGGGGTTTCACTGTGTTAGTCAGGATGATCCTCATCTCCTGACCTCGTGATCCACCCTCCTCCGCCTACCAAAGTACTGGGATTCAGGCCTGAGTCACCATGCCTGGCTCCTTGTTTCTTTTCTAATCGTTGATAGGACTTCATTTTCCTTAGGTTTAACTCAATTCCTGTCAACCTTACTTTGCCACTTCTCAACCTCCAGTTATTATTTTTCTGGCATAGTTTTAGTCAACTGCATGACCCTGTGTTATCTTCCACTATGTGCAAGTAATTGTGATAAACATTATGGTATTAGTTTACATTAAAACTTATTGGTATCTGGGAATATATTTAAGTATAATACTTTCTGATAAAAGAGTTATTGGAATATAGCCACACTTATCTACTAAATTAGCATCTGTTACACTACTTTTTATTGTAAGTGCAAGCATAGCACATTTTATGGTCCTCCATTTTATTGTGCATCAGATTAAATTGAACGCAGTGTTTTCTACTTTGTCACCCAGGCTGGAGTACAGTGGCATGATCTCGCAGCTCACTGCAACCTCTACCTCCTGGGTTCAATCAATTCTTCTGCCTCAGCTTCCCCAGTAGCTGGGATTACAGGCATCTGCCACCACACCCAGCTAATTTTTGTAGTTTTAGTAGATGGAGTTTCACCGTGTTGGCCAGGCTGGTCTTGAGCTCCTGACCTTAAGGGATCCACCTGCTTTGGCCTCCCAAAGTCCTGGGATTACAGCTGTGACCCACCATACCTGGCCTATCAGAGCCATCTTTTAATAACATGCGTTTAGTCTGTGTATCTGTGTCACAGTCTAGTGATCCTCTCAATATTTCAAACTTTTTCATTATTGTTACATCTGTTATTGTGATCTGCAATTAGTGATCTTATACTTGTGGTGGAAATGGCAAAAGAACAAAAAGTAGAAGTAGAGTTTGATGATGTGATTGAATTGCTGCAAGCTCTTAACAAAGAGAATGGATGAGGTCTTGTTTCTTATGGATGAACGAATGGTTACTTTAGAGAGAATCTCCTCCTGGTGAAGATGCTATGAACATTGTTGAAATGGTAACAAAAGATTTATATATTCCATAACCTTAGTTGATAAGGCTGTGGCAGTGTTTAAGAGGATTGACATCAATTTTGAAAGAAGTTCTACTCAGGAAAAAAATGCTATCAAAAGCATTGCATGCTACACAGAAATCTTTTATGAAAGGAAGAGTCAATTGACGTGAAAAACTTCATAGTGGTCTTCTTTAAGAAGTTGTCACAGCCACCCCAACCTTCTGTAACTACCACCCCAATCAATCAATAGCTATTGAAATTAGACAAGATCCCCCATCAGCAAAAACATTATAAATTGTTGAAGGCTCAAATGATTATTAGCATTTTTTAGCAATAAAGTATTTTTTTATCTAAGGTATACACTTTTTTTTAGACATAATGCTATTGCACACTAAATAGTTTATAGTATAGTGTAAACATAATTTTTATATGCTCTAGGAAACAAAATAAATTTGTCTGACTCAATATACTACAATATTTGCTTTGTGTGGTAGTCTGAAACTGAACCCACAATAGTTTCAAGGTATATCTTTTATTTGAGTTCCCACTAAATGTAGGGATGTTGAAACATCTTCATTGTGTTAACCATGGCCTTTAGAGACAAATCCCTACATTTAGTGGGAACTCAAATAACTATGCTAATGAATGAAAGTATAAGCACACAATAAAAATTGTAAATTATCTCCATTCCTCACATAAAAATAATATGGAGAATTAGAAAGAAAATAAACCAAATGAGCATTCCAAGTTGATTCTTTTTAAGTAAACCTACAGCCATTACATATGTTCATGACAATTAGAGCAGAAAAAAGAAAAAGGCTTTGGGAGGCCTAGGTGGATAAACCATGAGGTCAGGAGATCAAGACCATCCTGGCCAACATGGTGAAACCCCGTCTCTACTAAAATATAAATAAAAATTAGCTGGGCCTGGTGGTGCACGCTTGTAGTCCCAGCTACTCGGGAGGCTGAGGCAGGGGAATCAATTGAACCCAGGAGGCAGAGGTTGCAATGAGACGAGATTGCACCACTGCACTCTAGTCTGGTGACAGAGCAAGACTCCATCTCAAAAAAAAAAAAAAAAAAATGAAAGAAAAAGGTCAAATAGAAATAATTTCTATTCTGTCTATATAGTAGTAGTTTTGGTGATATAGAGAGTAAACATTAGTCAAGAATACTCATCTAAATTTGTTGGTAAAATGTAGTCATCGTTTGGCATGTGTTTTGCTTTGGTATATAATGAAGTTGAGCTATCCCATCTTTCTTCTCATATAATACAGTCCCACAAACAAAAAAGATAGTGAGGCGGGTCTTTATCAGAAATATCTGCCAATCCAGTTAGGTAATAGAAAAAAATCATTTTCTCCTCCTAGGCCTTCATGTAATTCTTCATGTAAAAATTGTAAGACTGAATAAGGATGACCTCTAAGTTTCTATAATTCATGTACATCTGTCAATTTATTCATCATGATGTAGATAGAGAGAAGGCTATACTTTCTGGCTCCATGATGCTAGGCTTGGCCACATGACTTGCTTAAAGCAAATATGATACATGCATCTTTTAGGAGAAAACTGAAGTGTATTTCATCTGTTTCTTTCTCCGCTAAAACAATGACAATGTCCCAAAAGAGGGCCTTTCCTTCACCTTTGATCGTGGAGTGAAGATGACACGGAGTGGTGCCAGCGTCAGTCAACAGGTAACATCAACTCACTGGGAAACACATCTTTGCTGTTGTCACTACAGCATAACCTAATGAAAGCTAATTAAATATAAGAATTTGCTAATAATTGAGGATCAATACACAATTAAACTTAAGACCAAAACACTCTAATTTAATAGAAAACTCATAACTAAAATGTGATGTAAGTGGGAGATAAGTTAAAAGGCAACTTTAAAAAATTAAAACAAATAGTATGTGTAGTAAAAGAAATGGACTTAAACATGTAATAGAATTTTCCTTGTGATTTCTGACTTGAATCCTTGAATGATTATTCCAAGTAAGATTCAACATTTTTACAAAATTGTTCTTCATCATTAAGATATTCCAAGATTATATTTCCACCATTATACAAAGGACAATCCTCCTTAGCAATCCAGGTTTCCAAAGTATGATCCAAAGGTAAGGCTTCTCCTGAAGTAATGTGACACAGCCTTAATTTCTGTGAAGGGAGAAGTAAGTTATACTTTAACAAATAAACATGCTTGAATGGAGCATCATAAAACCTTTACGGAAATATTATCATAATGAGATGTTACCTTAGCTGTTAATTTGTTATTGTCATTTTTAAGACTGGCTAGGGAAGCGGCAAAGTCTATGGCCTTTCCAATGCTCCATCGGTGGCAAAAGAACATGGGTTTGCTCTTCTCCTTGCTCCCTTTAGGTAAGAAAACCTGAAAGTAAATTCTCTCTGTCTGTAAAACAAAAAAGTTAAAACAACCATTACATAGATGAAACAGACATCAGTTTTTGTCTGGTGCCAGCCTTTCTGCTCTTCTTCTGGTCAGAGCAGAATTACCCTCTAACAATGTACCTACTGTTTGGAATATCAATCATAGTAGCCAAAAATACACATAAATGTATAGGCATAGGACCAAGACCCTGGCCAGGGTGATCTGTGCAAATAGAGGCATGAGGCCTAAGTAAGGCCAATCAGGTCTATTTCCGAGATTTTATGTTCAACAGCTTAGGAGACAAAGAGCATGCTCCTTAATTTTTTTTTTTTTTTTTTTTTTTTTTTTGAGATGGAGTTTCACTATTCTTGCCATGACTGGAGTGCAATGGTGCAATCTTGGCTCACTGCAATTCTCTGCCTCCTGGGTTCCAGTGATTCTCCTGCCTCAGCCTTCCAAGCTGGGATTACAGGCATGCACCACCACATCTGGCTAAGTTTTGTATTTTAAGCAGAGATGGGGTTTCACCATATTGATCAGGCTGTTCTTAAACTCCTGACCTCAGGTGATTTGCCTATGTAGGCCTCCCAAAGTTCTGGGATTTACAGGCGTGAGCCACCTGGCCTCTCCTTAATTTGTTTAAGTTTCATCAAATTAAACCTGGAATTGCCTACAGTGAACCCTGTTACCCATAGCCATTCCTGAACCAATATGGAAAAAGGTTCCTCAAATGGGAAAATATGAGATCAGTGTAGAAAGAGAAATAACAAAAAAACAGATAAACTTGACATAATCTGAGTCCCTGAATTTGGTCATCCCCCAAGACCAGATCAATTCATTATTCCCCATTATATGAGAGAAAAAGTTTGTTTTGATTGTCCTGGTTTTTGTCACTTACAATTCAAAGATTTTTAACACATATAACATTTCCTTTTGTGTGAAATACCTCACTATACATTGGGACAGAAGGACTTTTTGGAACAAGAAAACATTAAAAAAAAAGATAGAAAAAGACCCCAAACCCCAAGTACCTTATCAACAAAACAAGGAATTTGGAAAGTATTTCTCTAGTATTCTATATACTATCTGCCCTCTCCTTATATTATATTTTCTTGCGTAATTAACAAATGGATGGCTGAGCATAATGGCTCATGCCTGTAATCTCAGCACTTTGGGAGGTCAAGGCAGGCAAACTACTTGAGCCCAGGGGTTCAAGACCAGCCTAGGCAACATGGTGAAACTCCATCTCTACAAAAAGTATGAAAAAATTAGCTGAGTAGAGTGGTGTGTGCCAGTAGCCCCAGTTACTCTGGAGGCTGAGGTGGGAGGATCACTTGAGCCTGAGAAGGTGGAGGGTGCAGTAAGTGGTGAACATGCCACTGTACTCTAGTCAGGGCAATAGAGTAAGACCCTATCTCAACCAGACAAATCAAAACAGAAAAAAAGGCAGGCAAAAATGAATAGGAGCAAAAGGTTTGGTCTTTGATCTTCACTGATTCCTAAAAACTGCTTTTTAAAAGTGCTGGCTTTACAGATTAATTCTTGCTACAACAAAAATTTTGGCATAACTGGAACATCTCTAACTTGTGGGGGAAAGAGGATAATTATTCAGAAAAATAATAAATTCAACATGATTCCCATCTCGGCATTAAGGCATAGGGGGTTTGTTATTACAGGTAAGAAGTATTAAAAGAAAAAACAAGAAATCACTGGAAATTCAAACTCTGTAATCAAACAGTCCCTGCTCCAAAAACAAAGAAGCAAGAAGATAGAGAAAGAGAAAATTTAAAAGATACAGCCTTATCTTAAAAAAAAAAAAAAAGATAAATGTGTATGAGGATCAAAAATGAAACAGAAATGCAAAGTGATAGGCTGGGTGAGCCACAGGCTTTCAGGACTCCAGAAGAGGAAGAGGTAATTTCAGCTTAAGGTAAGTGGGAAATAACAGTACCACAGGGAGATAAGTATAAACTCCTGGGTCAGGCTCCCTACGTGGAAGCAGAGGAGTGTGAGGGGCCTGTGCCCCAGGAAGGGCAGCGAAAGAAGCTACTGCTGAATGCCTACTTAAGTACAAAATTGCTAGACAGGGATCTGTGAGTGAGGGGAAGGAGAGATAGAGGAAGAACCTCCTATTCAAGATGAACATATCAAATTCAGTAACTGAAATTTCAAAATAAACTAAAGGTTAACTCATTATGGGCAAATGAAGACAGTTGAACTTTAAAAAGACCTTAAAATAAGGTATTTAAGATGTACAATTAGATTTTAAAAAGTGATAATATCCATAAAAAGGAACAAAAAGTTATAAAGTCAAAACAGGCACAAATAAAACAAGAAAAGACATGAAGATTCAGCTTAAAAAATAGCTTCTGGAGTAAAACACTCAAAATTTAATATAAATGTTTCTATAATCCTCAATAAAAAGCCCTAATTTATTATAAGATGGATACGAGGAAGTCATCCAGAACACTGTGTAAAGAGATACAAAGAGAGAAATAATTATAGGTTGGGCGCGGTGGATCATACCTGTAATCCCAGCACTTTGGGAGGCTGAGGCAGACAGATCACTTGAGGTCAGGAGATTGAGGCCAGCCTCACAAACATGGCAAAACTCTGTCTCTACTGAAAATACAAAAATTAGCTGGGTGTGATGGCATGCACCTGTAGTCTGAGCTACTTAGGAGGCTGAGGCACAAGAATTGCTTGAACTCGGGAAGTGGAGGCTGCAGTGAGCCAAGATTGTGCCACTGCACACCAGCCTGGGTGAAAGAGTGAGATTCTATCTCAAAGCAAAAACAATTATAGATTCCCAAAATACGTCAACAAGAGATTCAGAAAAGAAGAAGTGGTGAAGTTGGCACTATTTAGAGAGAAAATGAGTACAGTTTTCCAAAAAATCGAAATTTAAAATGTGTCAAACTGAATAATTAAAATAAATCCACATGTAGAAACATTCCACAAAAATTGAAAGATATCACAAGAAATCTTAAAAGCTACCAAAAAAGATAGATTATTCATAGAGTAAGACCAACACAGATATTTCTGCAATAATAGATGACAAAGTATATTAAAAGAGTTGAGAAAGTTCAGTAGACAATCCAGCTAAAAGCAAGGGCAAAATAAGGGCATGTTCAAACAAACAAAAGACTAATAGAGTAACTTTATTACCAGAGACCTTTATTGAATGAATTGCTAAAGAATGTACTTTAGCCAAAATAAAAGTCAGCCCCAATGAATGAGAAACTAAACAAACAAGCAAACAAAAAACAAAGAAGTATTGGTAAATTTAAATAGCTATTCACTTAAAATTAATTTTTATATGTTAAAGTAAGATGATGGGATAGGAGACAGTCAACTGGATGAAGCATTTCAAGCTCGTATTCAGGAGGATATAATACCAACTAACTTTATGCTTTGAGAAAAAAATGCTATTTAATTATATACACAAAGAATGTGAGCACATAGTTGTTATCACCATTATTTTAGGATATTATACTGGAGATTATAGATAATGTAGTATGAAAAATGAAATAATGAGTATAATTGTTGAAAAAATTAGAGCTATTCTTATTTGTTAATGAGGTATAATTTTTAACTAGAAAATTGAAAACATTAATAGAAAAAAACTTCTAAAATTAATAGAAGTTTTTGGAGATGTAGCTGAATAATATGAGTATACAGAACTCAAAATTTTTTCCTCTTTATTAGCAATAAGTACTTGGCAATAGAATAGGGGAAAATATTCTTTTTCTAATATAAACAAAACCCATAAAGTAAGTAGCAATGAAAATATGGAATACAACGTAAAAGAAGAAAAACATAAAATGTTACAGAAGGATGGCCAGGCACAGTGGCTCATGCTTGTAATCCCTGCACTTTGAGAGGCTGAGGTGGGTGGATCATCTGAGATCAGAGTTCAAGACCAGCCTGACCAATATGGAGAAACCCCAACTCTACCAAAAACACAAAATTAGCCAGGCTTGGTGGCACATGCCTATAATCCCAGCTACTCGAGAGGCTGAAGCAGGAGAATCGCTTGAACCTGGGAAACAGAGGTTGCAGTGAGCCAAGATTGCACCATTGCACCCTAGCCTGGGCAACAAGAACAAAACTCTGTCTCAAAAAAAAAAAAAAAAGTTACAGAAGGCAATAAAACATCTGAATAAATAAAGACATACAAGGTCCTTATAGAAAGACAATGTCATAAAAATGTCATTTCTTCCAAAATTAATGTATAGCCTACAAAGCAAATCCAATGTGAATCCTTCAGGAATGGTTCTGAGTCAGGTCAAAAGCCTAGACTTGCTAGTAGACACTGGTGGGAATTTGAACTGTACTTCACCTAACTTCATAGAAACCACTCAGGTATTCATAAAGGATATTTTGCAAGAATTACTGGAATCTTATGAGCAGGAAAGGAGCTGGAATCCTCCGGACATAAAAAAGGAGGCCAAGATGGTACAATATCCCCAGGAGAATGGCAAAGGGGCCTTCAAGCAAAGGATCAAATCCTCACTTCCTTCAGGCAATGTTCACTTATCAAATCCTGTGGGAGACATGAGGGGATGCAGGAATCCACATTTCTGTCTAAGATTATCCTGTTAGCTGCTGCTTTTTATAGTCATATTCTCAGTTTCCACAGTTTTGCTTTTAAAGAGTCTAACTTCTTTAACAGGCTATGTTGAAGGCTATTATTCACAACCCTGCTCCATTATGATAACCTATAAATCCTAAGAGTGGTATTTTTCAAAATCTGAGCATTCAGATGGATGAATAAATGCTAAGAAAAGTACTAAGAAAAAATGGAAAAATATAGATGGAACTTGCACGATCAGATATAGAACATTCTATAAAGCTATTGTTCCAAATCAATTTGGTATTAACTTATGAGTAAAAAATAAATGAGTAGACTAGAATAGAAAATTAAGAAATAAACTCATATACAGAAAATAAAATGCTCAGCTTTTCATGAAGGTGATATTTTGGTATTTCAATACAATAAAACATTGATAATTTATTAATCAGTGATGGCAAAACTACCTAAACAACTAGAAGAAAATAAAATTAAGCCCTTAGCTAACATCACATGCTAACAGAAAAACCAGGTGGGTTGAAGACTAATGCAAAACAAGCTGGACACAGTGTCTTACGCCTGCAATCCCAGCACTTTGGGAGGCTGAGGTGGATGGGTCACCTGAGGTCAGGAGTTTGAGACCAGCATGACCAACATGGTGAAACTCTGTCTCTACTAAAAATACAAAAATTAGATGCTGTGATACCACAAACCTGTAATTCCAGCTACTCAGGAGGCTGAGACAGAAGAATCACTTGAAGCCGGGAGGCAGAGGATGCAGTAGGCTGAGATTGCACTATTGCACTCCAGACTGGGCAACAAGAGCGAAACTCCATCTCAAAAAAAAAAAAGAAAAAAGACTAATGCAAAACAAAACAAAAACACACCCAAAACCCAAAGGAAAACCATAACAGGAATGAAAGGAAAGACAGAGCTTGGAAAATGTAAATGGAAAATATTGATATGTCAATAAGAAATATAAGCAAAATCAATACATTGATAGATTTAAAAAACAGTTTATAAAGAAGAACGATTATAAAGGATTGTATCTTTTATAGTCTAAGAGCTTCTATAAGTTGACCAAACAAAATAAAAAGTCAAATATCCCAAAAGAAAAATGATCAAAGGATACGTATTAACAATTCAGAGAAGAGCAATTCCAAATGCCCAAAAAACATATTAAAGTTATCCAACCTGAACAGTAGTCAGGGAAATACAAATTAAAGCATTTATGAAATATCTCTTTATAGCCACTAGACTGTAAAATATTAAAAAGAATGCTAATAGCTACGGGAAACCATAAAGGAAAAGGGTACTCTCATGTTTGGCCACAAGAGGCAGTATGTTGAACTGGTTAGAATGGCAGGCTCTTACCAAGTTAGTGCTCTCAAAAATACTTAACTTCAGATTACTCATCTGTAAAATTAGAATAAAAATATATCTCAGAAGAGTTGTAAGTGCTAAAGGTGATTAAAAACGTAGAGCCACAAAACAATGCTTAGCATAGGCAATCAGTCAATGAAGTTTGATTAGAAATGTGAATTGTTGCAATTTCTTGGTAAAGTTGTTTGGCAATTTTTATTAAAATTTAAAATATGCATACCCTTTGACAGAGCAAACATGTTCTTGGGAATTTATCTCACAGAAAGAAAAGTACCACACAGGCTAATTAGCATAGTAGCCAAAACTGGAAACAAAGTGAATGCTCATTAATAAAAAAAAATGACAAAATAAGCCACAGTATACCCATACCACAGAAAAGGATGCAATTTGCAAAGAAAATGATTTAGAGTCACACCAATTCACTTGAGGGGATTTCTACTAGGCATTAATCAGAGTAGGATCTAAAGGGAGAAGCATATATCATCTACCCCAAACCTACTTTAGTTTTATTTACAGCCCTAATCACTACATGAAATATTATATTTAATATCTGTCTCAGCCTAGTGGCATATAAATTCCAGGAACTCTGGGTTTATAAGGGCAGAGACTCTGTTTTTCACTGCTGTATTCTCAGGGCTTGGTATATAGAAAGTATTTTTTTTAAGTGTGTTGATGTAAAATGATACACACACATATGCACACTTATACATGTATATACTACACACATATATATTATACATATATGTATAGACACATAAACACACATATATCTCTAGTATATCTATATTTATACACACACAAACATTAATAATATAGGAAAATCTTTTATCTACAAACTTATAGAATGCTTCATGATATATTAAGTGTGTGAAGATGGTTTGTGAAACCAGACTGCCTAGTATCAATTCGTAGTTCTCCACTTACTAGCTATGTTAGTAAAAAGCTGCTCTTTTTGTGAAAGTGCATACCTTATAAGCTTGTTGCAAGGATGAAATGTGTTAGAAGAAGAGTGTCTCAAAGTAACTCTTGCAGAAGTTTTACTGCTGTGTTTTAAGTAACAGAAGAATTGCAAAGTAATATAAGTATTACTGAGTACTTCAGGGCAGGTCTTCTCAACTTGGTCACTATTTACATTTTAGGCCAAGAAATTCTCTGTTGTCAGCCTTGTCCTCTACAATGTATGAATTTAACAGCATATCTGGCCTCTACCAACTAAATACCAGGAGCACCCCATTCCCAACTGTGACAACCAAAAATATATCCAGAATTGCTGAATGTCTCCTGAGGGGGCAAAACTGCTCTCAGTTAAGAACTGCTTCTTTAGGGGGATGAAAATGGATGAGAGACACAGGAGACTGTGTTTTTTTCTCCATATGCATCTTTTGATAGGTATACTTGTTAAAAGCTCGTACTATCTTTGCAATTTGAAAAATATAAAATAAAATTTCAAAAAAGTAAAATATCAGGGGTAGTCATTTAAATAAAAAATTGTAATCAATGGTTTCTAAGCCATCAGAACAAATTCAATCAATACATAAGGAAAGAGAAAGAGTCAAATAAAAAGGGTGATGAGCAGAAAATATATGATGGGGCTGGGCGCGGTGGCTCACGCCTGTAATCCCAACACTTTGTGAGGCCGAGGCAGGTGGATCACGAGGTCAAGAGATCAAGACCATCCTGGTCAACATGGTGAAACCCCGTCTCTACTAAAGATACAAAAAATTAGCTGGGCACGGTGGTGCGTGCCTGTAATCCCAGCTACTCAGGAGGCTGAGGCAGGAGAATTGCCTGAACTCAGGAGGCGGAGGTTGCGGTGAGCCGAGATTGCGCCATTGCACTCCAGCCTGGGTAACAAGAGCGAAACTCTGTCTCAAAAAAAAAAAAAAGAAAATATATGATGGAAGAAATATGTTCAAATACACCAATGACCACAATAAACAAGAAAGGATTCAACTCACCTACAAAAGAGAGATACTATCAAACTGGTTTAAAAAAAAACAAAGTTCAGCTATATGCTGATTACAAGAGGCACCCTAAAACAAAATAACAAAAAAAGTTGAAATATAAAGGGATGAAAAAGTTACATACTTGTTAAATATTCACCAAAAGAAAGCTAGTGAAACAATATTATAATTCAAAACATGATTAAAGGCAAAATGTATAAAGAACATATAACAATGAAGAAATTCTATGCACTTGATAATATATAACTCTACAAACCATTAGAGTTATATAAAAAAATTAACAAAACCACATCCTTAGTGGGAGATTTTAACCTATCTGAGAAACTGATAAATCAAGTGGACCAAAAATTAAGTACACACATATACATATAGTACATAGACAGAGAAAGATAGTAGATAATAAAGCAAACAGTGCAAAATGCAAATAATTGGTACATTTGGGTAAAGGATATGGAAAAGTTACTTGTACTATGTTTGTAACTTGCCTGCATTTGAAATGGTACCAAAATAAAGACACCAAACAAGTATACTGTTACACCTAAACAAGTATATTAAAAATAAATACATTACTATTCTATGTGAAAGGTTGGAAAAAGGACACTAGAGAAAAATCTAAACAAAGCAGAAGGAAATAACAGAAAAGCAAAAATTAGTGAAACAGAAAACAAAACATAGAAGTCTTTAAATCCAAATCATGGTTATTTGAAAACACTAAGAAAAATAAGGATAAACTTCTAGCTATTCTGTCTAAAGGGGAAAAAGGGAAAAGTACAAATGAAAAACATTAAGAAAGAAGTACAATGACAAAAGGCACATAGAGATTCTGAAGTATAACAAGAATAACTGGAACAACTTGATAATAATAAATTGAAAAATCTACATCAAGTAATATTTTCGAAAAATATTTACCAAAACTGACTTCAGAAGAAATAGATTATCCAGATAAACCAAGATGTAACATATTGGAATGGTATTAGAAATTCTCCAAGAATTACAACTAAGTGTTATCAAACCTTTGAGAACAAATAATTCCCACCCTCTACAACTACCTCAAAGAATAGAAGAGGGAAAGCTACTCAACTAATTTTTGAGCATAATCTTGCTATTAATGTCACTAACACACACTAAAGAGTATGTTAGCAAATCAATTTCTTAGTGCATTTTAAAGAATTATATACCAGAGTCAAGTGATTTATCCTGGAATATTTGATGACCTAACGACAGAAAAACTGATTAATAAAAGTTATTACATTGATGATGAAAAAACAATCTCACTTGATGCAAGATAAAAATTTACAGTAAAGTTTAATATCCATTCGTAATATAAATTCCTAGCAAACTAGGAATAGAAAGAAATGTATCATGAAAAAGGCTACTTACACATTTTTACAGTATATCTAATACTTGATGAAACTTTAGACACATTTGCATTAAAGTCAGAAACATGATGAAGATTCCTTCTATTGCCCATATTATTCAACATTGTTCTGAAGAACTCAACATTAAGACAAACAATAATACAAAGAAAAGAAGAAAAAAATCCACAAAAATTGGCATTTGCAGAAGATATGACTACACAGAAAATAGCCCAGAAAATCTACAGAACATGGGAACTATTAGGAATTTATTTGCTGAATAGAAAGACACATAACATCAACCAACAATAATTAGAAAAATGTAATTTTTTATTTTTTTGAGACAGTCTCACTCTGTAGCCAGGCTGGAGTGCAATGGCATGATCTTGACTCACTGCAGCCTCCACTCACTGTAATCACCAGGGTTCAAGTGATTCTTGTGCATCAGCCTTGTGAGTAGCTGGAACTACAGGCATGCACCATTATACCCAGCTAATTTTTGGATTTTTAGTAGAGATGGGGTTTCACCATGTTGGACAGGATGGTCTCAATCTCCTGACCTCCTGATCTGCCTGCCTCGGCCTCCCAAAGTGCTGGGCTTACAGGCATGAGCCACCATGCCCGGTGAAAATGTGATGTTTTAAAAAAGGTATTATTTATAATGACAGCAAAAATTATAAAGAGCCTAAGAATAAAACTAAGAAAAGGTATGTAAATACTTATGGTAAGCATTATTCTATAATTACTTCTATAATTACACATAAAAGAAAAGAAAGAAAGTTGGAAAGATATGCAACAGACATAGATGAGAAGAGTCAAAACTCTAAAGATGTCCACTGTCTCTAATCTAAAATTCGGCATTATTTCTATCAAAATCATAATTTCATAGAACACAGCAAAGTGATCCTAAAATTTTTATGAAAGAATAAATGATCAAAAATAATAGACATGGTTGAAAGCACTGCTAGAAAGAGACAAATGAGTACAACCACTGACAACAGGAAGCTGACCACATGTAGTAAAGCTGAAGATCAGCAATGTCCATAAACCAGGTTTTCTATTTCTAGGTATATTTCCTAAGGTAGCATTTTTTAAACTGGTAGTCTCAATCCATCAAGGGTTGAAAATCAACCTAATAGGTTCTGACTAACAGTCTTTAAAATAGAAAATAAAAATATCATAATATATAACACACATTAACGGTAAGTACCACTCAAGTTGTGTTAAGGTATGTATATATATTGGGTTGTTACATAAAATAACTGATATTGTGAAGTTCTAAAGGAATAGTCCTAGAGAAACTCTTCTACATATACACAAGGATGGTTACCATAGACAGTTTATAATAGCAAAAAAATTGAAAAAATCTGAATTTTGTTTATTAAGAGAATAAATTGGGGTATATTGATACTATGGAATAATGTGCAGCTATCAAAACGAATGAGCAAGACTAAATGTCTCAGCATGGTTAAACGTTGACAGCACATGCCAAGTGGGGAAAAAAAAATCAACTAGAAGAAGGATATATATGGTTCACTGCCATATCTGTAAAGTGAAAAAAGTCACAAAACTATGTATTATTTATGCAGACATATATATCAAAAATGATACATACCAGGTTTAGGTTAGTTGTTAATTGATGGGAAGGAGGAATACAAAGACGACTTCAACTATATTTGAAATTTTTGTGTTTTTAAAAATCTCTAAGACTAACCTGTGGCAATGACTTATCGCCATCAGCATGCATCTTTAATTTCATCAATGCAACCTTTGCAGCTGTTTCACTATTTTTGGCACCTTTCCGTCGTTTACTTGCTGTTTCTCCTGTCTTAGAATCTAAGAAATAAGTGTAAGCATGTAATCACATAAAACTTTCACATTACAAGTAGAGTTTTATTATAAAGCATTTATTAATTATGACCCTGAAACATATATAAATTACACATGGCGGGGCGCAGTGGATCACACCTGTAATTCCAGAACTTTGGGAGGCTGAGGTGGGTGGATTGCAAGGTCAGGAGTTCAAGACCAGCCTGGCCAAGATGGTAAAATCCCGTCTATACTAAAAATACAAAAAATTAGCCAGGCTTGGTGGTGGGTACTTGTAATCTCAGCTACTGGGGAGGCTGAGACAGAAAACTGCTTGAACTGGTGGAGGTTGCAGTGAGCCAAGATCATGCCACTGCACTCCAGCCTTGGTCTCAAAAAAAAAAAAAAAATTACACACAAGAGAGATATACAGAAACCACATTCATTGTACAGGTTTTATATTTACATGGTCAATGCAAAAATATCATTGAGATTAATCCAAGCTATCTCCACATCAAAAAATTCACTAAAATGTGCTTCTTTCCAACTTAAGCCTAGTTAACCTAAAGCAGTCATTAATGCTTCTACAGACAACTTTAAGAATTGGTTATGCAAGATTTTAATAAAGGTACTATCTTTAATATGAGATTAAAATTCTGAACTAACATACTAACAGAGACTGATTTACATCACAGATACATTCTTTCCTGGCATCTCTTATAATCAGTAGCATTCACAGCACAGCTGACTAGGCTTAAGAGTTTAGTCTATAGAGAAAGTAACTGACTACTTTAATCTCATGAATACCACTTCTAGCCTAGATGGTTAACTAGCTAATCTAGGTGGCTCGGCAAAACAGATAAATATTTATGGTAGAGTACTTCCAAATCATTTTCACATTTTTATTGGTCAGGTAGACCTTGTAAGAAATACTGTCACAAGAATATCATCAAAATACAAGTTAATACAAATACCTCTGGGGCTATTAATGATGCCTCCCATAACTGAAAAGCAGACATAAAAAGCAGGAGCTCTGGAACTAGGAAAGCAAAAAAAAAAAGGGGGCTTTCTAGATATTTACCAATAATGTCTTTAACAAGTTTCTGAGTGGCAGCCATGTGAGGCTTCGGGATTTCCAGTTTTTCACATTCATGATCTGACTGATGACGGTGTCTATGAGCAACAGAAAAGTGACACTAGTTCATGTATTTGTATATGACTTAAACAGATATACAAAGTGTGAACAGTTAAGTGATTACCTCAGGCAAAAATTCTTCTCACAATAAGGACATATAACTGCCACAAGTTCTCTTTCAGCACAGTCTTTGAATGAGCACGGGTAAGATGTATGTTGATCTGTCTTTAGTCTCTCATTGCTTACAGTCACCTGAAAGTGCAAAATGGAGGAAATGCATTATATTTCAGGCCTAAACTAAATCAATGTGTCTATTCTAGAAGGCAGCATTCATATTATTTTTGCTTAAACTTATTAGAGCAAATTACCTACTCTCACATAAAGATCATAATGAATGTTTTGTGTGACAAATGATTACTATGCTGACTGTTCTACATTTTCACAATTTTCCTACTGTGGTATATTTATCTTCTAAGTCAAGTTAAAATGACTATTTAATTACTCTCTACAATATTAACCTGCTTTGTAACAGTCTCATACAAAGACGCCCCTATAACATGCTCAGGTAATTATCTCATCAACCCTCAAATGGCTAGTCAACCTACTTTCCACACTAATTTTAGGGGATGAAACACTTAACTCAGAGAATAAAACACTTAAAAATTATTTATTTATTCATGAGATAAAAGGTTAAAGACAACTTTCATAATCATATATTATTCTCTATGCCTTATTTTATATTGTCATTACCAGCAAATACTCCATTACAGGAAGAAAAGATTTTGAAAGACTAAAAAAAAGAAAAAAAGATCTAGATCAGTCAGGTTATTCATTAAGAAACCAGGTTTCTAAAGATGAGTAAACTTAGGGAAATAAATGCTTGAAAACTACAACCAAAGTGAATTCCTGTTTATAAGTAATAGTCACATCTTGTTGGAAGTAAGTATCTTTTTGAACTTGTTGCAGTGGTCTAATGATATTTCAGTATTTAATTAATGAGATCTAATTAACTGAGAGACATTCAGAGAAATCAAATTATATCCTAAGAAAAAGAAAACACAGGATAGATTTAAAAACTATAAGAAACATCAGTAAGTTTTATTGTATGACTAAATATTTCCTCCAATTAATTTTAATGTTCCTCAAATAGTTCATGTAAACTTCAAAGAGTCCGATTTTGACTTATCATTTAGACTTGAAAGAATCAGATTTCAACAGAACCTCCTGTAACTTTAGTTTCTATAACTGAGAGAACAGATGTGAAAATCCTTGGTAAAGCACTTGGTAAATGATGGGCAGGAATAAATGTTCACTGAAAAGTGTAGAGCACATTGGACATGGTGGGCTTAGCTTTCTCTCTTCCTCTTGGAATTGAACTACCTTCAGGGAGAAAGCCTAACTTGATCCAATACTGCCATGACTGCTGGGCAAGTCTGCTTAATTCTGGATTTTCTTTGCAAACCCATTTGGCTGTATGCTGAGCTTTATCATTCAACTTATCCTTACCAGTAATAGGGGTAATATTTTGACTTCTATCTGCCAGATCTTTCTTAAATTATGATTTGTGAAAAATTAGGGTAGGAATTTTATTAGACTATAGATTTGTTCCTGGTGGTCTTAGGCTTACTGAACCAGAATGATTTACTACCACAGATCCTGTCAGAAGGCATCAATGAAAATGAACACCACAGTAAAGAACACAGTGAACTGGAGGGAATATATAAGGAGGACATTCACTTCAGTGTATATTTATAAATAGATAGCCTTGGCCAGGAGCGGTGGCTCAGACATGTAATCCCAGCACTTTGGCAGGCCGAGGCAGGTGGATCACCCAAGGTCAGGAGTTTGAGACTGTAACCAGGTGTTTTTTTGGGTGTTGGCGAGGCACAGCTCCTGAGCTAGGAGAAGGCTGTGGGTTCTTCACCTTCAACCTTTGAAGGAATAAGCATTGGGACCACTGCAGGTGCGCCATATGCTTGTAAAAGTAAATACTGGACCCAAGAAGTGTTGCAGGAAGGTGATTTTATTTAGGTAGAGAAAAGATAAGGAAAGGAAAAGAAGAGAAAGACTTCCAGGAAGAGTGTGAAAGGGGATTCCAGAGGGGAAATCCCAGAGGGAGCTCCCACCATGTGCGAAGGGATTTAAGAGAGTTGGAAATCTGGCGTGGGTGAAGGAGCAGGGAATTTATCCTGGGAGAAATTCCCACTTTCCCAAGTTCCTTTGGCCAATGAAAGATGTTCCTTTAAACTTCTGCTGGAGTGACTGACTTTTAGTTTCTTCCCGTGCCCGTGAAATTGAAACATAAACTGTTAAACCTCCCGGATGGAGAGAGTTAGGAGGTGGGCATGGCGCTGGGACGTTCTTGCCCTTAAAACTACACCTCTTCATGGACCCGGAAATAGAACACATTCCCTCATTCCCCCTTCTGAACAGGAAATTTTAACTTTTGTTGGAATAGGGGCGTTGATTTTCGGAAATACAGTGTAGTAAAGGAACAGGGGAATTTATCATAGAAGAAATTCCCACCTTCCCAAATTCCTTTGGCCAATGAAGAGTTCCTTTAAACTTCTGCTGGGGCAATTAACTTTTAGTTTCTTCCTGCACCAGCAAAATTTAAACATAAACCGTTAAATCTCCCAGATAGAAAAAAATGGAAGGAGGGCATGGCACTAGAAAGTTCTTGCACTTAAAACTATGCCCCCTCATGAAGCTGGAAAAAAAAAAAAATTCCCTCAAGACCAGCCTGGCCAACATAGTGAAACCCCATCTCTACTAAAAATACAACAATTAGTTTGGCGTCGTGGCTCATGCCTATACGCGCAGCTACTTGGGGAGCTGAGGCAGAAGAATCGCTTGAACACAGGAGGTAGAGGTGGCAGTGAACTGAGATCCTCCCATTGCACTCCAGCCTGGGCGACAAGACCGAAACTTCGTCTTGAAACATAACAAAACGTACAAACAAATAAATATATAGCCTTATGCTGTAAGTGGGCTACCTAAACAGAAATGTTGAGGAATAAGAAATAGGATAAAAATTTTCAAATACCAAGTAAAACAATTTTTCTTTCAAACAGAAAAATAATATAAATGAAGCAAAAGACTCTTTACATAATCAGTTTAGTATGCCAGACTTTAATCTCTGTGCCACTGACTGGCTTTAAATCAAATCAAATTCTGAATGAAAATACATAAATATAAATACATTTTTATCAGATTGGAAAAATATTAACATACCTCAGGACAACCATGAGACTCCTTGCTTCTGTGTTCAAGGCTTAAAAAATAACAATAAACATTTATTTAAATAACATACTTAAAGATAACGGCAGTAATTTGTGGTATCTTAATGTTCAGTATTCTTAAGACACATTATGCTTAATAGCATTATGTGTTAATAACTTGGAATATGAGGAAAAACTGAAATGTCAGGTAAAGATGGAGCATCTATAGTCTCAAAAGTTTTAAAACACAAATGTTCCACTTCAGTATGAGTAAAAACAATTCATCACCCTAAATTACACTGACTTTGAATGCTTTAGGTACATGAAAATATAAACAAATTTTTCAGTTATTTTTATTTCTCAAAGATCATCAGTAGCAAAACATGAAGAGTGCTCTAATTCTGAATAATTTAAAAACATATATTACTTTTATTTACTTCCAAGAAATCATTCTGAATTACAGTCTGAAAAGAATTTATTTGTTCAGTGCTCTATTTCATAAATTAAATGCTTGACATTTTACAGTTTAATTGTAAGGTAAACTCATTTTCCAAAATTCTTGGTTAATTCCCAGGCTTTACTTGGTATGTGACGTATTCAAATGCTGTGATTCCTGTTTTCAGGCATTTATAGGTTGGGCTCTTTTTATTTTATTAATTAAAGAGTAATAATTATAGCTAGATTTTTACCATAATCTTTATATTGTGAATATTATTTTCTCCTTGTAATTAAAAGACTAAAATGTAACTTAATATAAAATTCAAATACATAAACCCACTTTTGGAAGTTCAAGAATTAGTCACATATACAAAGAAGTAATCAGAGCCTATTACTTTACTGAATATCAATAATCAATGGCTAAAGTAATAATTATTTTAAATCATTCTACTTTTCAGAAACAACTCCATATTATTAAACACTAAAGTTACTCCCAAATCCTGCATAAAAACTTAACTTACCAAAATATTCCTGAACAATCACCACATACAAATGGAAGAAAATCTAAAATGGAGGGAAAATGTATGTACTGGTCAGTATCTGATTTGGATTTAGTTTTCTTAAGCAAGAAGACAAACCTCTATGAAAAAACTTCCCATTTTGACCAACATCCTAGCGTAGCAAGCACTTTGTAACCACTCTAACAAAAGTAACCACAACTTCAATAACTGTGACAGAAATTAACTGGATTAACAGTGGGTATTAATAGATGTTACTTGTAACTTTACTAAATCAGAAAAAAATAAGTTCTAGTGGTTTTCTTTTTCTTTTTTGTTTCCCAGATTTACTAGGTGTTTTTGATGACTGTATACTGCAAAATTTCCGCATTTGCAGTTAAAAACCTGGGATTCAGTTCTGATTCCACTGCTTACTAATCTAACAATGCCAGGCAAGTCACTTAACAGTAAAGCTTATGTGTATATATATGTATATATATATATATATATCCTATATATATATTTATATACTTATATCTGTGTATTAATATATACCTATATGAACATATGTATCTCCAAAGCCTGACCATTCAAATATATTTTTAATATTTATATATACATCTATAAGATTTATGGTATTTCAAATATATATATTTGATGTAATATATAGTACACTTATATAAAGTATATGTGTGTGTTTCTATATATGTATGTAAAGGAACATATACAAAACAAAAGCTCTTATTGAGTAACAAAAATAGAAAGATACAGGTAGCTACAGAGACAAATAGATATAAACATATGAGCACATCTTTCCTGTGTATATATGTATATGTGTGTGTATGCATGTGTCAGTATATCTATATCTGTATCTGTGCTGTATGTCACACTGACCTCACAAGGTAATTACAAAAACCAAATGAGATATATGTAAAAGATTAGAATAGTAATATGGTAACTATAATTAATAAGAATAATACAATTAACTTCTTTTGAGTATACTCAACTCAGAACAATATTGCCAGGGGCTGGGCATGGTGGCTCATGCCTGTAATGCCAGCACTTTGGGAAGCTGAGGCAGGCGAATCACCTGAGGTCAAGAGTTCAAGACCAGCCTGGCCAACATAGAGAAACCCCATCTCTACTAAAACAAAACACAAAAAAATTAGCTGGGCGTGGTGGTGCATGCCTGTAAATCCCAGCTACTCAGGTGGCTGAGGCAGGAGAATCACTTGAATTCAGGAGGTGGAGGCTACAGTGAGCTGAGATTGCGCCACTGAACTCCAGTCTGGGCAACAGAACCAGACTTCATCTCAAAACAAAACAAACAAACAAAGAACAATACTGTAGTGACAGGATAGAGATGCTTACTATTTTGAGACTTTTGATAATAAAGTATTAGACACAAACTAGAAGGACCCAGGGGAAAGAGTTAAGTCAAGACAATATTTCAGCATCTGATACCATCCTTAAATCCCTCCAGAAGGTAGATAAAATTTAAGATATATACTTGATGTAGTCTAAATCTTAACTGCTTTCCACTAGTCCCAAACAGATAGGCCTGGCCTCATCTCAGTTATTGACACTAAACACATATATAGCTAGAAAGGAAAATGAGCCATGTCATGAACGGCAAATAATGTGTATTGGACTCTCTAGCGGGGGATCAAGCATACCAGATACACATAAATTACATCGAAACCCACATGGCTAAGCTTCTACATGAAAAAAGTCACTCTGAATCACACGGATTGTGATTACAGCCAGTAGTGAAAGATACATATATAGAGGGCTAAGAAGAACCTTGCAGGGATTGTGTCACTTGTCCTATCACACATGTCCACAGCAGACATCACTATGAAACTGGGCTAAACCTCAGAGTCCTTGACACAGTGATTCAGGCACTTGATATCAATGACTGGAGTTGCAATGGGAGATGAAACCTGTTTGCTAACTTATGTAGTGTGTGTCATTATATATGACACACACTTGGAGTGAAAACTAGTACAAATGACCGAACAGTCTGTGGGGTTCTAATGCTTCAAAAACTTGCCTTTTCCAGGTGTATGACATACTGAAACCAGTGCCACATTACCTTGGACTAGGTATATCCCAAGGTCTCTCAGTGCGATGGGGAGAGCCCACCGCCATATAATTAATTATCTCTAAATGCAGCTTACTAGTTGGAACGGTCTTCTGTGTAAAAGGCTAGTTTACACCCTTATGTGGTCCAAGAACCAAAATCAATGATCTGTAAATGTTTGTTCAAAAAATAATAAGCAAAGGAATGGCCTTCTGCGGGACACACCTGCACCGGAACACTAGTTGGGAGAGTTGATCTCGCCCAGCTCCTTCTGACAACTAAGTAACAGGTAAGTAAACAAAAAGTTTGGGAAAGTGGCTGGCTGTAGGTCGCAGTGGAAAAGCCAAAGGAGAACTCCCCCAGACCAGCCCTATGCGTCCCCATCCCCGCGCTCAGCAGAGTAAGTGTGCACCACGCGACCCAGCAGTGGGCTCTGTGCACATCTCGGACACAGCACACTCGAAAACCAAAACGAACACTGCAAGGTACGTTTTCAGGAATTGCATGGCTCCTTTCCAAGGAGACCACATGTCATTTCAAAGGTTTACGGCCAAAAAAACCACACACACCAACAGATCTCACTGCAGACCCAGAAGAAACGCTCCCACCCCGCTCCTCAGGCTCTGCCCAGCCTTGTGGCCTCCCCTCACCCGCCGCCACCATCCGCGGAGCCAAAGCGGAGCCCCTGTCTCCCGCGGCCGGGGATGCGGGCTGGGAGCTCTCCGATCACCTCGCTGCCGGCAGTGCTCCACCTGACAGTGCTGCCCAATGTCCAGCTCCGCCATCTCTCCGGCGCCACAAGAGGCGGGGCACAGCCTGAGAGGCGAGGCAATGAGCGCGCGCGGCGCCTGCCGGGAGAGTGGCGGACCCAGGGGCGGAGTCACAGGTTGGGCGGGACCCGGAAACCAGCTGTTCTCTGTGCCCTAGGTGCGATCGCAGTGACCAGGAAGAGCAGGTTTTCTGTGAGTGTTTTAGTCGGAGCCGAAGGCCTCCAGCCCAGTCCTTAAAGAAATACTCACCTGCAGGCGGGCGCAGTTGCTCATGCCTATAATGCCCCTTGGGAGTTCGAGGCGGGCGGATCACCTGAAGTCAGTAGTTCGACATCAGCCTGACCAACATGGAGAAACTCCGTCTCTACTAAAAATACAAAATTAGCCGGTCTTGGTGGTTCATGCCCGTCCTGTAATCCCAGCTACTCGGGCGGCTGAGGCAGGAGAATCGCTTGAACCCGGGAGGCGGAGGTTTCGATGAGCCGAGATCGCGCCATTTCACTCTAGCTTGGGCAACAAGAGTGAAACTCCGTCTCAAAAAAAAAAGAAAAGAAAAGAAAAGAAATACCCACCTGCCATTCTGAAAGATTGCGTACTGCAGTTTCCTGCGTGCGGCCACGAAAATCAGCAACGGCTTTACAGGAATTGTCTTTTATTTATCCTTTTTTAAAAAAAATATAACTCCAGAAACCAGCACAGTGCCTGGCACACTTTTGCAATAATCAAGCAAAAGAGACAGATACGGGTTATCCAATTCCTGAGCCATCCCTCAACTAGTTTTACTTGATTATATAGTGTAACATACATGCCCCTTGCAAAACAGTCATCAGGTTTTTTTTTTTTAAAGTAAATATTTCTTTATCTTGTTACTTTTTTCTTTCTTTAAAATTCTGGGAGAAAAAAAAAAGTCTTTAACTCCCGAGTCCTTGAATGTGTACTGAACTTTACAGAGTTCCTCAGAGAACCCAGATTCATTTAACATAACTACCTGAAGAAAGCTTATGGCATTCCATTGGGATGTAGGGGAGTTTCAGGTGCCTGGTGAGCCACTGCAAAGGTACTGAAGGAGAGGCTCTTCTGGGTGGGGTACACATGAATGCCATTCCACCAATATGATGTCAGGCAACATTCAGAGTGAATGGGTGACAATCACCTGCACTCATGACAGGAACTAGAGAAGTATTCGATGCCTCCTATATACTTTTGGGGATCCCAATCAGTAATCATTGAGGAAGGGGGAAGGATGACACTGGAAAGGAGGAATCATTACTTCAGCATTTGCTCTTGAGTCTATTTAAGATTTCCATCTCAGAATGGCTTGGGTCTCTGGAGACTTTAGATTTTAGAGCTGAAAGCAACCTACAATGTCTTCTGACAATCCCAGCCTCCATAGCTTTTCTTTTATTAAGAGGAGAAAAACAGTTTGTAGACGTTAAATGATTGGCTCAAATTAGTGGATGAACCAGGACAAAAAAATTCAAGTACTAAAGACTTCTGGTGTTCTTGGATCTAGGGATCAGTGCCTTACCTAGGTTTATGTTTATTTAAGTTAATCAGATCATTTGATAACAGGCTTTCTAGATTTTTACTAGGTGTTTGGAATGCTCTAGATAGGTGGCAAATATATGTTTTATCAGTCCAATAATGGATCTATGCTTACTTTTTCAGTTCTTGAACACCTCATGGAACATCTGAGGATTTAGAGTAGTCAAGACTGCAGTTGTTACCTCTGCTATCTCCGTTTAGTCTCCTTAGCTTATTTCTTCTCTAGGTGCTACTTAAACATGTCTATGTCACTCTGTTTATGTCTTTGGTCCATTTACCAATTTACATCCTCATACAAGTGAAATTCCCATTGCTTCCATATTAAAGACTCTCATAACCCGTATTCTCAGCCCTGAGAACATTTGACCAAACATGAGGTAGCTATTTCCAACTGTCTGATTGATCCAAAATGGGATTCCTTTGTAGCAAAGGCAGGCTACCACATACTTGTTTCATTCAACCAATCTTAGATTCATCCTCCACCTCTCCTTTCTTACTTCTTGTGGAAGTGGCCATTAAACACTATCACTTCTCCCTCAGAAATGTCACTTAGTCCTGACCTGGTGGCTCATGCCTGTAATCCCAGCACTTTGGGAGGCTAAGGCAGGTGGATCACCTGAGGTCAGGAGTTCGAGACCAGCCTGACCAACATGGAGAAACCCCATCTCTACTAAGAATACAAAATTAGCTGTGCGTGGTAGTGCATGCCTGTAATCCCAGCTACTGGGGAGGCTGAGGCAGGAGAATCGCTTGAACCCTGGAGGCAGAGGTTGCAGTGAGCTGAGATGGTGCCATTGCACTCCAGCATGGGCAACAAGAGTGAAACTCCCTCTCAAAAAGAAAAAATAAGTCTCTTAAACCTGAACTCTTTGATTTCTCTGGTTATCTTTTCCCTCAAAACAGTATCTTGCCTAAGATATTCCATTGGTTCCCCATTATTCACAACATTCCTTTCCTTGCCTAATAAGCCTTTCCACAATCTGGCCTCAATCCCTCTCTCCAGCCTTAGCAATAACAACTTCCCCACGGACTCCCAGCTCTCCATCCATTTCCTGAATATGCCTTTTAGTTCTGTAATGTATTCATATTTTTGCACATGCCTTTCATTTCCCCTAGAATGTTCTCTATACCTGGGTTTCTCAAATGTTCTTGAAAATAAGAATCAGGCAGTGTGCTTGTTAATAAATACAGCTGCCCCAGGAAGCCAAGTTCACCAAGTCCACTGATGTTTTCAACCCCGGTGGAACACTGGTCATGCATACATATGAACCTGAAATATTCAGGCTCCAGAACAATTTCACCATAGAAAGAAAAATAAAATAGCCGATTTTTTGTTTGTTTGTTTTTTGAGAGGGAGTCTGGCTCCATCACCAGACTGGAGTGCAGTGGGTGATCTCGGCTCACTGCAACCTCCACCTCCTGGGTTCAAGTGATTCTCCTGCCTCAGCCTCCCCAGTAACTGGGACTACAGGTGCATACCACCATGCCCAGTATAATTTTTTATATTTTTAATAGAGATGGGGTTTCATGGTGTTGGCCAGGATGGTCTTAATCTCCTGACCTTGTGACCCGCCCACCTTAGCCTCCCAAAGTGCTGGGATTACAGATGTGGGTCACTGCACCCGGACTATATACTTCTCTTACAAGCACTAACCAGAGCCTATTATAATTTACTTGATCCCCCCTTATCCCCCACCCCAATTTTTTTCAGTGGCTTCTACTAGCTACAGAATAAAATCTGCACTCAATTCAATTCAGCAAATGTTTTGGGCACCTTCTCCATATCAGATGCTATATTATGTCTGATACAGAATTGAATAAGATAGATCTATGACTTCAAGGAGCTCACATAGTCTAGGAAGAATTGTCTCTGCTTGGCATTTAAAGTCTCAAACCTTGGCCTGACCTTTCACTCACTGTCTCTCAAATGCCTCTTCACACTCTGTGTTCCTCATAGCCGTAGGCCCTTTGCACAAGCTGTTTCTTCTACCTGGAATGCTCTTCCCTCCCCTATTTCAACTAGTTTCGTGTTAGCTTTTCATCTACCTGTCACTTCAGATATCCTTTCCTTAAAAAATTATTTTGTTCTCTCTGACTAGAACAAATCCTGCTGTTATTACATTCATTTTGTATCTTCTTCAAAGCATTTGTCAAAGACTCAATTTTGCATGTTTATGTGGTTATTTCATTAATGTTTATTTCTCTGCCTAAGCTGTAATCTCCACAAAGACAAGAGAGCAGGTCTGTTTTTTGCTGTCCATTATTATAATTGACCTTAGCCTACTTTTCAGATGTTCAGTATTTATGGAAAAAATAAGTGAAAAAAATATTCTTAAAAAATTTTTTTTATTATACTTTAAGTTCTGTGGTAACTGTGCGGAATGTGCAGGATAGTTACATAGGTATACTCATGCTGTGGTGGTTTGCTGCATCCATCCCCACCCCTGTCATCTATATTAGGTATTTCTCATAATGTTATTCCTCCCAATTTCCCCACCCCCTGCTATCCCTCCGCTGGCTCCCTACTCCCCAGCAGGCCCTGGTGTGTGATGCTACCCTCTCTGTTTCCATGTGTTCTCATTGTTCATATTATTAATTATCTTATGCACTGGCCAACTGTAATTACTACAGATTTCATATACATGTCCCTGGCTGACTTTCCTCTGTGTCTTTGAGCTGGTCTTTCTGCCATGGAATGTCTTTTTCCTATCTATACAAACCAAATTCCTACCCATCCTTGAGGGTAAAATTCAAATTTCATCTCCTCTCCAAGGCTTTCCTTCATTCCTCTCAGTATAAAGTAGTCACTCCTACTTTTGGACTCCTATTTTTTTCTGTACCTTTCTATTAGTTATTACAAACTTCATTATAATTATTCTTATGCATCTCTTCTCCCTCACTAGGCTATTGACATTTTGTTCATTACTGTAAGCCTTTCAATCTATCATGATGCCATCAGACCTCATAATAAACATTTGATGTAAACCTGTGAAATAATAAACTGAAATTTAGATTTTTTGCTTTTTATCTTATGAAGACAGAGTAATTTTTTTTTTGTTTTAGAGTGGAAAAGTGATTACACAATCTAATCATCTGAAAGAATAATGTTGCTATATAATGGAGGGAATATGAATGCAGGAGAAATATACAAGAATACTCATAGCAGTGCTATTTGTTACAGCCCAAGCTAAAAATAAACCAAATGCAAACTAATAGTAGAAAAGATAAACAAATCATGCTATAGCCAAATAATGTCATATTTTACCTCAATGAAAATGAATTAACTACAACTGCACACAATAACATTGATAAAATTTAAAAATATAATACTGCGTGAAAAACAAAACCCAAAAGAATGCATACTATGTCATTCCATTAATAATGTTCAAAAGAGGCTTTATTCAGTTGTATTGTTTAGGGATAGAGGCATATAGGAACAGTTACCATGGAATATAGAAGTATGAGTACCTGTGGCAGTGACAAAGAAGGTTTTGATCAGGAAGGGATACATGTTTTG